CAACCTACAAAACAAACAAAAAAACACAAGGAAAGGTAAGAGCAAAAATCAACAAAGAAAAATAAAAGAAAGGAAAGAAAGGAGAGTGGAGGTGAGAATCCGGGTTGCCTCCCATAAGCGCTTTTGTTTAACGTCGTTAGCTCGACGTTTACCACCCCACTCAAGGTGGCTTGAAAAGAATCATTTTATGAATAATACCAACAAACAATCCATAAAAATATCTCTTGAGCCGATGACCATTAACCTTGAAAGAAGATGAGGAGTCCAAAGAAGAAATCTTCACGGCACCATTAGCAAAAACATCTTTCACAAAGAAAGGGTCACTCCATCTTGACATGATCTTTCCGGGAAATCACTTCATTCTTGAATTGTAGAGGAGGACTTTATCACCAACACAAAACTCTTTTTTCTCAATGAGCTTATCATGAGCTTCCTTGGAACGAGCTTTGTAGGTACTAGCACAATCATAAGCATCAAGTCTAAGCTCCTCTAGCTCATGAAGATTTAACCACCTTTTCTCCCCCGCACTTTCGAAATCAAAGTTTATCTTCTTGATTGCCCACAAAGCACGGTGTTCAATCTCCACCGAGAGATGGCGTGATTTGCCATAGACAAGGCGATATGGAGTGGTGCCAATAGGTGTCTTGAAATCTGTTCTATAGGCCCAAAGAGCATCATCTAACTTATCCGACCAATCCTTTCTATTCCTTGCAACCGTCTCCTCAAGAGTAAGCTTTATTTGACGACAGGAGACCTCGACTTGGCCACTCGTTTGAGGATGATATGGAAGGTCGAACCGTTGATGAACTCCATGTTTCCTCAACATCTTTTGGAAGGCATTGTGAACAAAATGAGAACCGTTATCGCTTATCACAGCCTTAGGCACACCAAACCTTGGGAAGATGATTTTTTTTAACAACTTCAACACTACTTTGTGGTCATTTGTTGGGGAAGCAATGGCCTCAGCCCACTTAGAAACATAGTCCACAGCCACAAGTATGAATTAATTCCCATATGAAGATGGGAATGGTCCCATGAAGTCAATCCCCCATACATCGAACACCTCCAACTCAAGAATAGGTTGTTGAGGCATCTCATTCCTCATGGAGATTTTCTTAACTCTTTGACATCGGTCGCATGACTTTACAAAGCCACATGAAGAGATGTGGCCACCACAAACCACATTGAAGAACCTTAGTGGCGTTTTTGGAAACACCCATATGGCCACCACTAGGATCCGAATGGCATATCTTTATAACACTAGGCACCTCTTCATTCGGAACACAACACCTAAGCAAGCCATCAACCCCTCGTTTATACAAGATGGGATCATCCCACAAGTAATGTCTTGCCTCCCTCTTGAGTTTCTTCCGTTGGTTCTTGGAGAAAGAAGGTGGAAACTCCCCACATGCTATAAAGCTCACTTAGTCGGCATACCATGGGAGCTCCTTAACCTTAATGGCATACAATACATCATCAAGCATTCTATCTTCAATTGGTAAACCATCATCATGAATTTAATCACTCTCAAGGCGAGAAATATGGTCCGCCACAACATTTTCTGCACCCTTTTTATCCCTAATATCTATTTCAAAAGTTTGTAATTCAAGCACCCAACGAATCAACCTTGGCTTGGACTCTTTCTTGGCAAAGAGATACTTGAGAGCCGCATGATCCATGAAGATAATGGTCTTGGAACCCAACAAATAATACTGGAATTTCTCAAAAGAGTGAACAATGGCCAAGAATTCTTTTTTCGTTGTTGTGTAATTCTTTTGGTCCCCATTTAGTGTCTTGGGCATCTAGTAAATCAGATAAAGCTTCTTGTACACACGTTGTCCCAAAACACCTCCAATTGCCCAATCACTAGCATCACACATCAATTCAAAGGGTAAGTCCCATCTTGGGGCTTGAACAATGGGGGTAGAGATTAGGGCCTTCTTCAATCTATTAAATGCCTCCAAGCATTCACCATCAAAAACAAACTCAACATCTTTTTGAAGAAGATCATTAAGGGGCTTGGCAATGAGTGAGAAATCCTTGATGAATCTTCTATAGAAGCCCGCATGTCCCAAAAATGATCTCACTCCCTTGACATTCACCGAAGGTGGAAGCTTCTCAATAACCTCGATCTTGGCCTTATCCACCTCTATTCCTTTATGAGAGATCTTGTGTTCAAGCACTACTTCTTCCTCCGCCATGAAGTGGCACTTCTCCCAATTCAAGACAAGATTAACCTTCACACACCGTGCCAAACATTTCTCAAGATTTACAAGGCACTCTTCAAATGAAACCCCACCTACGAAGAATTCATCCATAAATACCTCAATTTCTTCCTCCAACATGTCTCCAAAAATGCTCATCATGCACCTTTGGAAAGTTGTGGGGGCATTACAAAGGCCAAAGGGCATTCTCCTATAAGCAAAGGTCCCATAGGGGCATGTAAATGTTGTCTTCTCTTCATATTCGGGGTGGATTGGGATTTGGAAAAAAATCCCGAATAGCCATCAAGGAAGCAATAGGACTTGTGCCTTGTTAGTCTCTCTAACATTTTATCAATGAATGGAAGGGGAAAGTGATCCTTTTTGGTGGATGTATTTAGACGTCTATAGTCTATACACATCCTCCAACCGGTGACCGTCCTAGTTGGAATGAGCTCACCTCTCTCATTCTTGACTACGGTCATACCACCCTTCTTAGGAACGACATGAACGGGAGAGACCTACCTAGAGCTTGAGATGGGGAATATGATTCCCGCATCCAAGAGCTTGGTGATCTCTTTTTTCACCACCTCTCCCATTTGAGGGTGTATCTTTCTTTGTCGTTCAATAGAAGGAAGGGTGCCTTCCTCTAGCGTTATGTGGTGTGTACACGAAGCGGGGCTTATACCCTTAAGATCATCAATAGTATAGCCCAAAGCACCTTGGTGCTTTCTCAAGACACAACATAACGCTTGAGCTTGGCTTTCACTCAAGGATGCACTAACAATTACGGGGTAAGTGGAATTTGGGCCTAAGAATTCATACCTAAGGAGTGATGGTAGAGGTTTGAGCTCTACCATAGGCATACTGATGTGTCTATTTTATATAGTATTTTACCCCCGTCCCTTGGTCATAATTAGTAGTGTTTTTGGCTCTTTAGAGCCACTTTTATTACTAATTGGTGTTTTCTAGTCTTTTCGTAGATTTGGTTGACTTTTGCAAGGATTTATGCTTTTGGAGTATTTTCCCGAGTTATTTTGGAGCAATCACGAACATTGGAGGAGCACGACCAGATTTTATAGCCCAGGGCTGGTTAGAGCCATCGAACCGGTGATCAAGGGCTCTTTATAGGTGATACCGGGACATTTGGACCGAGTATTCAAGATCGGAAGAGGAAACCCAGATTGGCCCGAAGAATTGGAGCCCAATCGTAGTCCAAATAGTGGCCCAAGTGAGCAAAAAGGCGCGCCCGATCGGGCGGTGCCTCGCCCGGTTGGGCGCGTGTATTGATTAGGAGACGATTAACGTTGTTTTAGTTTGTTTTAACTTAGGATTTGTACGGAGTATAAATACTCCTCCGTAATACGATTTTAGGGGACTCCCACTCTTCTTCCACTCTCTCTTTCTCTCTCTTTCCTTTTACTCTTTCTTTACTCTCTTAATTGTTCTCTTAGATTTTCTTTCTCTTAAACCTTTGTTCTTAATCTACTCTTAATTCCAGATTTATTTTGGTAACGATTCCTCTTCTCTTAATCTTAGTTGTTTATTTTATTCCTTTAATTATGTCTTATTTTATTGCTTTGATTAGTTTAGTTTTTACCATGTGTGAGTAGTTTTATTTCTAGGGTTTATGTTTTATTTCTAGGGTTTATGGGGATCCATAAATAATATGAAGGGGTAATTTATTGTTGTTAATTATCAATGCTAGATTAATTTCCTATTGATTGATTTAATGCTCTGTGACTAGATTAGGCCTATCTTTTATGTATGATTTTGATAATATTGATTCGAGATTCGAGATATGAGAATTGATGTTTAGGTCTAGTTTCAATAGGCAGATTAATTTATAAATGGTTAAGTCAAGATTCGAGAGATGAGATCTAATACCGGTAGATTAATTCTGTGATTGTAATACGTAGCGAAAGCCCTTTACAATCTGGTTAATTGATGCATTGATGATTGACTATTATTGATTTTTGATATTGCATGATAATTTCTTATTGAATTGTTTTAACGCTTTACAATTACGGCTTGTAAAAGTATAGCAATATTGAATTGATGAATCGAGCAGATGTTAATTTGATATTAAAGGCTATTTTCAATAAGAACTTAGATCTAGTAAATTGCGAGAGCCTGTTAGATCTATGTTGATTAATAAATTGCGAGAGCCTGTTAATCATGTTATTTATGCAATGTCAATGATTGATTACTATTCTTTACCCTGGAGTATTATTTATTGGTGAACCTATGCCCTAGATACTTTTATATATTGTTTTCTCCCTATTCTCAATCTTAGTAGTTTAGTTTCTTATTCAAATATAAATATTGGTTACTTCATAATCTAGATTATTTTAGTTAATTAGGAATAGAAAGACTTGTTTCCCTATGGAGATCGACCCTACTTCCCTATCTGCTTTAGTTAAAGGACTTAGGAATTATTTTTTATTAGGGGATACGACTTTACCCTGTCACACACCTTTACCTTCTTTTGTTGCGGCCGCTTGCAAAGCTTCATGGCTTGAGATCTTCAAGCACAATTGTTCATCCTCTTCCTTCATGCTTCCATTAAGCAATTCCTCATACAATGCCATCTCCTTACATGGTGCACCTAGCTTATCTTTGTTCAACAAAACATTCTCAAGAGCATCGTTAGAGGTGAGAAAGTGCTCATGCATGGAAGACACAACATGATCAAGAGAGTCAATCATCATGTAATTTTCAAGAGAAGAAATTGGATATTTCATGCTTTCATTCAAATCGAATTCTATGGCCTCATCTCCTACCTTAAGGGAAATCTTTTCACACTTGACATCTATCATAGCACCCAAGAGCAAGAAAGGGTCTACCTAGAATGATAGGAATGGTATCATCTTCATCCATTTCTAGAACAACAAAATCCACCGGGAACACAAAGTTCCCAACCCTCAATGGAACATCTACCACTTTACCTTTTGGAAACTTGATTGACCTATCGGCTAGTTGCAAGGTAATGTTAGAAGGTAAGAGTTCCCCTATTTCAAATCTTTGATAAACCGAATATGGCATTAGGCTTACACTAGCTCCTAAGTCATATAAGGCATTATCAATTTGCATCTTATTAATAGCACAAGGGATGGAGAAGTTTCCGGGGTCTTTCAACTTGGGTGGCATTTTGTTCATGATGATCGCACTACAATTTTCAGTCAAGTTGATAGTCTCCACAACATCACAATTCCTCTTCCCACTCAAAATGTCTGAGGAATATGGCATAGTTAGGAATTTGGTTGATCACATCGGTGGAAGGTAGAGAAAGGTGAAGTTGTTTGAGCATATCAACAAATCTCCCAAATTGCTCATCCAATTTGTGTCTCATGAATTTTTGGGGATAAGGGAGCTTGGGTTTCACAATATCTTTCTCTACTCTCACCTCTCTTGGTGTCTCAACCACCACCTCATCTAAAGATTCTCTAGCTCCCTCATTCTCAACCAAAGCTTCCTTGGGGACCTCCTTGTCTTCACTCCTCCTAGGAAATCTCTCCTCAAGAACCTTACCACTCCTTGTAACAATAGCACTCACGGGTTTCTTGGGATCTAGGCCTTGGGAAGGTAAAGAAGAAGGGCTTGCTTGGTATTTCAAAGCATTAGCAAGTTGAGAAATTTGGTTTTCGAGCATTTTGTTATGGGTCATCATCTCATTGAATTTCTTGTCACTAACGACCATGTATGTGTTCAACAACTTGGTTTGATTTTCAATAATTTCCTCCAAATTGGTACTAGAAGAAGAAGGTTGTGAATAGGAATTTTCACCTTGAGTCTTTAGAACAAATCCGTGTGGGGGACCTCTTTGAGAATTATTTTGAAAATTGCCCCTACCTTGATTGTTCCAATTACCCCTATTTTGATTTTGACCATAACCTTGATTATGGTTTCCACTGCCTTGGTTATGATTTCCTTAACTTTGGTTTTGATTACCATAATTTTGCTTTTGATTTTGACTAATATAACCTTGATTGTCATAGTTACCACGAGAACCTTGGTTCCCTTGATTCCTATAACCACCACCTTTGTTAAAGTTGTCAAAATTACCTTGGTTTTGGTAATTCCTATTCCATTGATCTCTTTGATTATAAAACCTTTGCACATTATTATTTGACACATAATTCACATGCTCACTCTCATTATTATCAAAATCATCACCAAATTCCAGAGAAGCATGAGGGCAATTACAAGAGTCATGATCATAAGGTCCACATGCATCACAAAACAAGCAACCACTAGGCATATTATTTAAGGAGGGAGGGGGTTGAGAGTTAGAAAGAGTATCTCTCCCCTTAAATTGGGAGGGAAGATTCAAAGCTTGAGAAGAAGAGGAGCTTTCCAGCTTGGCCTTGATTGCGGTCATTTCTTTCTCCAAGTTTGTCATTTGTGACGATAAGTTGTTGATCGCATTTAAATGGTCTATAGAGTACACCGAAGAGCCACTCTTGCTATTTGAATCCCTCTCACCATCTTGCCAATCTCTATAGTACTTTACCACATCCTCAATAATGTCCACCACTTATTCTTCCAACCTATTCATTATGGGACCTTCGGCTCCCCCATCAAGGCATGATTTGCCTTGTGGACTTATGCCACCATAGAAAATTTGAATGACTTGATAGGTTGGAATTCCGTGGTGGGGACACTCCCTTTAATACTCTTTATACCTCTCCCATGCTTCGTAAAGGCTTTCATTAGGTCTTTGCTTGAACCCTTGAATCAAAGCTCTAGCCTCCGCCGTTTTCTTTTATGGGTAGAATCGGGACAAGAATTCCTTGGTGACTTCGTCCCATGTTCTTAGGGAGTTTTGCTTTACCTCCTTATCCAACCACTCCAAGGCTCGGCCTATGAGAGAAAAAGGAAACAACTTTAGCCGGATGAACTTTTGAGAAACTCCGTTCACTTTGATAGTTGCAATATTTTTCAAACTCCTTGAGATGGTTCAACGGACTATCATTCTTAGCTCCGCTATATTGTCTCCTCTCGATCAAAGCGATCATAGTCGGCCTAATTTTGAAATCATTCGCCGGTGTTGTAGGTGGAGCAATTTCACTCTCAAACTTGTACACACCTGGAATTCCCAATTATTTCAAAGCAACTCTTGGTTGTTCTCTCATGCTTAGTTCTTCTTCAAATCCTTCTTCACTTGAGGAACTAAACTCCAAGGATCGACTAGCATTTCTTCTCCTTGAAAGAGTCCTTTCGATTTCCGGGTCAAAAGGCACAATGGATCGATCACAAGCTCTATGCATGCAAAACTCAATGAAAATATTAGTAGCACGGCTACAAATGTAGCCTTCAGAAACAAAATCTTTTTGTATTTTTCAATTAAAGTGAAATAAACTCAACAACTAAAGCTAAGCACCAATATCACTCCCCGGCAACGGCGCCATTTTGATAGAGGAATAAACGAGTCGTCAATTGTCTACCCAAAATCAAACACAATTTATAATATCCTAAACAAACCTAATACAAGTATAAGGCAAGTATAGGGTCAAACCCAAAGGAGTGATTCGGTATTAACTATAGCCTAAGTCAAGCTACTTCGAAGATTGTAGTGAGAAGATGGTTAGTACTATGGTAACAAAGCTAGACTAATCAAGTAATTCAAGAAACTAAACATTAGGGATATAGGTTCCACATTCAAGTTCAATAAACATGCCAATTGATTGTTCATTCACTTGATTCAAGCATTGCAAAGGACAAACAATAGTAGCAATCAAGAGAATTCAAGAGCTATCTTCTAGAGGCCAAGCTAGGGGTCACTATGAATGGCTAATCAAAGAAATTCACAATAAAACTCAATCAATTAAAGCAATTCTCAAATTGATGGTTCATGTCATTAAGAATTGCAATGCAATCTAGATTAATCTTATAGGTTGTTCACTCCTAATATAATTAATCACATGCAAAACTATGTCAACCAATTTAATTGCAACAATTCAATCAATCAATGATCATCAACTAGCACAAATTATCAATCAAGCATGCTTCCCCTTTTCCCTAGCAACTAATCTACTCACTAATCATGGTGTAACACAAGAACAAATCACTAGAAATAGCATTGATCATCATTCTAAATTAAAATCAAGAGAAAACAATATCAACTACAATATCAAATTCAAACCCAAGCAAATCAAACAATCAAATATGAAACTAAGACAAACAAATAAAGAGATGAACTAAAAGAAGAGATTCTCACTAATATTAATGATTGAAGATGAAGAAATCCAAGCACAATTGATCCAATGTTGAAATACAAATCCAAAACCAAAAACTTCTCTCTAACTTCTCTCTAACTTCTCTCTCTAAAACTAAGCTAATGAAAATTATCTAAAAGTTGGTTTTCAAAAAGGAATTACAAGTGTATTTATAGGTAAAGAAGGAAAACGAATCCTCGCGCCCTCTCTAAGAAACCCCGCGCCCTCGCGGAAATGGGTACGGAACCCATAACAAACTGCGCGGGCTATCAGGGCAACACCCGTGCCCGCAGGTCTTCTAGCCCGCGCTCGCGGCAAGGGCGCGGCAAATCCCTTGCTCCCAAAGGGTGATCAGAGGGCTGCGGTCTCTCCAATCTACCCGCGCCCGCGGGGAGCCCGCGGCCAGACCGCGGAGAGTTCCTGGTCGAAATTGGCCAATTTGGTGCAAACGAGCCAGCGCCCGTGGCCTTCAAGACCCGCGCCCGCAGCAACCTGGCAGGACTTGATGCCCTCTCCAAGCCCTCTCTAAGCCCTCTCCAAACCCTCTCCAAGCCGATTGCTTCCTCCTTGCTTAGTCAATATAGCTCATCTTGATCCCCTTGCAAAAACAACTCCTAGGTACCTACAAGAACAAACAAAGGAAAGGAAAAAAAGGGAAAAAAGGCCAAATAAAAGGAAAACACGAAAAAACACAAAGAAAGAAAGAAATAAAGGAACTAAAGGAAAAAGGACCAAAAATAAGATAAGAAAGCATGAAAAAGAGATGAAATCATCCTAAAAGGCTACCCTATGAGTGCCATACATGACACTCATCAGTTTTAGAGAGAGAAAGTGAAGGATTTCAATGGTGATTGAGAGATTGAAAATACAAGTGTGACAATTGTGTTCAAGATCTCTTCTCTATTATCAATGAGCATTCTTAACTCTATCTCACCTTATTGCTTTATTCAATTTCATGTTTGTTTGAATTGATTTTGATGTTTGATGCTTGTTTAGTGTAATTGTTCTTGATATTTTGTGAATTCTTGATTTCTTTAGTTGATTGTTGATTAGATGATGATGTTAGAGTAGTTGTTGGCTAGGAATTTGGTGAAACTTGTATGATTGATTAATTGTGATTAATTTGGGAATTGTGTTGATTGATTGTTGAGATTAAAGTGATTAATGAAGGTTTGCATGTGTGTAATTCGATTAGGCCTCGAGAATTATGCTAGATTGCATTGTAATTTCTAATGACACGAACAATTGATTTAATAATTGCAATTATCAATTGATTTTGATTGTGATTCTCTTAGTTTGTTATTCATAGTGAAAACTAGCTTAACAATTAGGAGATAGCTCTTTGATTCCAATTGATTGCTCTTATCATTAGTCTTCACAACCTTTGATTGGCATGCTCTTCCAAGTTGTTACAATTGACATGATTACTTGTTGATCCCCGTTCCTAGTGTTTTATTTCCTTGGTTACTTGTTTTGTTAGTTGTTAGTTTCCTCTCTTACCTTCGTCTTCGACCTAGCTTAGGCGCATAATTAAAAGTGCTTGGACATTACCATTCATTTGGGTTCGACCCTTGACTTGCCTCTATACTCGTATTTAGGTTTGTTAAGTGTCCATAAATTTAGTTTGACTGAGGGGAAGATTAGATAACGACCTAGTTTTCCACTCGTCAAGCTCTGATCCACAATTGAATTTGGGTCATCATGTGGGAGATATTTCAGTGGCTTAGATCTGGAAGAAATTTGACACCTTGTGTCATGGTTCTCTATTTGCAGTCTTCAAAAGGTTTCCAGAGTTACAGTGACTCATGAACATCACTTAGCTGGCTTAGCTCGTACATGTCATCTTCTTTGTTTTCGCTTTTAGTTTGTTGTTTATTTGTTATTTTTCTTTATATAAAAAAATAATAATAATAATAATAATAATAATAATAA